CAACCCATGGAAAAGCTGGTATTTGGATATTAAACCAAATAAATTTATTTGGATACTAAACCAAATAATATTTGCAAAAGCTGGTATTTGGATATTAATGTTCAATAGAATAGAATAAGAAGGTTAAGGAACTCGATACAGACATAATAGACCTCGTTATCTATGTTTTTGTCTTGGTTTATGCAAGAAATGGTCGGTTCATCGTCGCGTGTGTATTGTATTTTCGGTTTTCATGTAACCATTGTGTAATATCACGACTGGGTAATTGACCACTTGCGTAATAGACTAAATTTTGATCTCAACAAAAATTTCATCACAGCTTGAAAGAGCATCACAAACCCTTTGGGGCATCAATTTCCCGTTTGTAATACAAAATGACTGAAAATTGCAAATTTCGCAGGGCTATATTATCCGCATTTTGCAACATTTCGCAACGAAACTTTGAAATTATATTACTAGTTTTGTAATGCTCTTTCAAGCTGTGATAATTTTTTTGTCTAGACTTGTTTAGATAAAAATTTAGTCTATTACGCAAATGGTCAATTAAACCAACATACTGCTATAGGTTGGTTGGGCGAAAAAAAAACAATTCACACGTCACGATGAACCGATCATTGTTTTGCATAAACCAAGACAATGATGTCAAACATAGATAATGATGTCTATTATATCTGCATCGAGTTCCCTAACATTATTATTCTAAGCCAGCGAATTAATTTATGTATCATACATACATTATACAGTAACAATGGGCTATTACGTATTCAGTTTACTCCGCAAGCCCGGCAAAGCAAGACAAACTTTTGCTAATTTCTCATCCATTTTTCATCAAAATTAAACCAAAATTTAATCAATTTGTTCTTGGGCAATATCCATCAGTCCCAAGAATTTTCACATTAATACGTTTGATATTACGCGAGTGACAGAGTGTAGTAAGTTACCATGGTTACAGACAAACACACAGACAGATACAGGGTGTATAAAAAAAAAGGAAATCCAACTTGATTATCCCATTTTAGGGTGTGGTGATAATCAGTCCAGATTCAAACCACGACATACGACATCAGCATACGGGATGTCACTTCCTCAACACAACACTACGTGTTTACTGGACTGGTTTCCATGACGACGAATCACACATTGCTGGATTCCGGGTCACTATTGGTCGAGCCCCACTGGGTGCGGACATCATACCGTATAAAGACTTAAAGATTGACTCGGAAGCTAAGTTTGAGTTAAGTCAGCAATATGGACTGTCTCGAGGTGACAAAATATTCGCAACAGTTGAGGCAACCAATCAAGCTGGGCTTATCACAAAAGTTTCGTCGCAACCTACAAGACTTCTATCCGATACAGACAACAACCTACTTAACCAGCAAGATTTTCTTTGTGTAAATCTTTGAGAGAAATAATAGCTTGACTAATCTATTGGTCGGTTTCACACTTGCAGTGAATGTTTAAGAACAACAGCAGTATAATGATTAACAATATTTATTTGCCGAAGCCGAGGTGATTATCGGAGAATATTCGCCGAGGCGAAGTCAAGGTGAATATTCACCGAGCCTGAGGGAAAGAATTGTTTCAGTATTTTTACAAAGTCTTTTGTGTTTTTTGGGACTGAATTTATTTTAAATAATTCCACTTAATCTTTTATCAGTAACTTCCACAAAACAGCTAGCCGCCATTTTGCAAATTTCGGTTTTGTTATATTCACCTGGAGGTGAATATAACAGCTTAATACATCATATTTGACCAATCAACTTGTAGGATTTGATATATTCACTTGTGCAAAAATACCAACCAACCAGTCATATTTAATCATAGGATTCAAACAGCCAATCAAATTTAACAAAAATGTGATATGGCAAATGGCAAAAACAAAAAATTTACATATGTCATGAATGATTTAAAATTAAGCAATTTTTTGGCACATAAAAACAAACTATAAATATGGATAGCTAAAGTAAACTATCAAAGAATTGGAAATTTTCAAAATTCACAAATAGGAACAGGCAAATTAAGAACATAATCATCTATCAAATACGGTCAAAACGCCGACAAAAGCAAATTTAAATCAGGGAAAACAAAGGTAAATTCGCCTATCGTACTTCCAGTTTTAAATGCCCAAAACTGCACCAAAACGCTTCCAAATCACTCGTAAAACCTACAATATCTTTATACTTACTTGTGTTGTCTCTTATTCTTTATAAATGTCTTCATTTCTTTAACAATTTAGTTTTTTGAACGTATAAAACAATGTATTATAAAACATAATTACAAAAGTAGAAAACCTCATCTTGTTCGCTTATTGTTGCTATGCTACAGCATTCAGGGAGGTACCGGAGGTGTGTCTTTTGCAAACAAAAACGTTTCCGGTTTACAAAAATGTTTAAGATTTCAAAATGAATATATTTAATAACGTGGAAATTGAACTTCGTGTCGTGCAATTTTGGATTGAAATCAAACTTGTGATTACAAATCGCACTCCCGCTTCGCGGTCATGCCATTTTGTAATCACGCGTTTGATTTCAATCCAAATTGCACTCCACTCAGTTCAATTACCATTATTAATTTTATATTTTTGGTGTACTGTATAATATCAGAAATTTTATAGACTTAAGGCATTACCTTGATCATTACACAGAACACAACGTATTTTAGTCCCTTTTCACTCATATCTCTGCAGTAGTAAGCTTTTTAAAAGCAATCTTTGCTGTGTTGTTTTCAAAATTAGCGGCTATTAAAATCCGCTAAATGAAGCCTATTAAATCCTTCGCCATGTTGAATTTTATCTGTGCCATAATCCTGCTTACATAAAGTATATCACCACTGATCTCAAAGTCATTGAAATGAATATAACTGGAACGCTATCTTCGGATGAACTTCCTAGTCTTCCTAGGACTTCAAGAAATTTGAAGAAAAAGATATACAAGGCTGTTCTATTGATTCCCATGTTTTTTAAATATCTACAAATGGAAAATTTAAATCACCAACTTCTCTGGTGTCCCTTTCAACTAAAGTTTTTCTAGTCAAATATGGGTTTCACAAAGTACTTCCGTAGAAAACCTGGTTCCATAACCTGCAGTTATCACACAGAGAATTTTTTTATCATTTCACGTACTAAGAGAGAGAAAATTTCTTAACATTTTATATACTAGTTTTAAATTTGGCGCAAATAAATGGACTTGAAATATTAGTTTAATTTGCTTGGGCCAAAAAGCACACCTGGGTTTTCTATTTTTTGTTGACTAAAACTCGGGTAGGCCAGATCGAGTTTAAACTATCACGAACTAGGTTATGTAGCAACGAAAACATTTTTAGGGAAGGTTCATTGTTTCCATAAATATGAACCTTCCCTAAAAATGTTTTCGAGGGCGGAGTGTTTTCACAACATTTCGAGTTTTCCCAATTTCCACGATGCCCACTATAAGACCGGTATATATTATATATTTTCCCAATGCCCACTATAAGACCGGTATATATTGCTGTTTTTTGTCTTATTACTCGTAATTGCGTAATAAGTGTACAAGTTGCACGGGCTTCTACAGTGTCGTAGTTTTAACGCGTGCCTACGTGATTTTCAAAGCAGAGTAACGCTCGACTTCTCCGTTCCATATTTGTGTAATTGTTCTTTTGCAAAATCTTCGCCAATTCTTTGCAAAATGTTTGCAAAATTAAATCTTCGACAGTTAGACATGTGTTTCACAGAAATGATACCTGTCTATATGGTTACTATTACCAAAATTATTGTGAGAATTAGCACTTTCCGAGCTTGTAATTTTCAAATCTTTACTTCATCTCATGACTTTTCTCAGTAACAAACAAGCTTCCTTACTCATACGTATTTAATTATTGAGCACTATTGTGTCATATACTGTATATTTGTTTCGCTATCTTATTATAACTATATACGTGGCTAACCTTAAAAATTAATGAATGACCTTTGTTTTTTTCTATCAATAATTTATATATTTACCATTACACCAAATTACTCATATATGTTTAAATACCACTTTCAAAGGGTTGTCAATATATAGCTTACAATTGGAATAATCTAAAATTTTAATAGGACTTTAGCAATGGCGTTGTTGATGCTATTCTTCTATATGCGGACATTTTTTGTACATTTGTTGCATAATTGATCAATGTGGTGGATCTTGTCCTGAGTTAATTTCTCCTCGAGTAAACGATGTTTCAGCGGTCTCTTCCGGTGGTTTCCGAACGCCATCTACTCGACTAACACTATAACGAAAACAGAAAATAACAATTAGGTTTCTAACGCAATTACCAAGTACACGTAAAAACGCACAAGTTGTTACAGGTCTGCAAACAAGTTGTTACAAATCTGTTCACAAGCTGTCGACAAGTTGTGTTCGCACTGCTTGTTCCCAGTTGTTGTAACAAGTTTGAAACAAGCTGTTAACAACTTGTAACAAGCTTGATGGCATTATCAGACTCTTGTTACAAGGTTGTTCTAGCAAGTCTGATACAGTCATGATACAACAAGAATGTTACAAGATTGACGACACAAGTTTGTAACAATACTGTTATATCATGACTGTATCGGACTTGTCGGAACAACCTTGCAATAAATCTGATAATATCAACAAGGTTGTTGCAACTGTTAACAAGTTGTTCCATACTTGTTGGAGGAAAAGTTGGGACAAGCAGTGCGAACACAACTTGTTGATGGCTTGTTGGCAGACTTGCAACAAGATGTGAGATTTTTACGTGCATAGTTTGTCTGTTACAGACATAAAAACGCACAAGTTATAACAAATCTGCAGCGGTCTTGTAGCAATACTGTTCCAACAACTTGTCAACAGGATGTGTTCGCACTGCTTGTTCCCAGCTTGTTGATAAGTTGTCAACGGCTTGTTGGCAACTCGCTACAAGGTTGTTAAGCTCAACAGACTTGTTACAATTCTGCCAACAACTGTCATCGTCCTTCAATTCAACAACTTGTAAAAAAGTTGTGAGTGACAACCTTGTGGCAACTTGACAAACTAACAACATTGTTACAACTTGTTGACAACCTCGCTACAAGCTTGTTGCGTACACACTTAGTTGACAAGTTGTGAAATTTTTACGTGTGTACGTGCCCGCTACAACATATGTGTTATGTACTATTAAAAACATGAGCAGCAGTGTTTTATCAGATATAAAGATACGAGGCGAAGAAGAGTATCTTTAGGTCTGATAAAACACGCATTGCGAATGTTTTAAATTGCTTCAAAAACGATCGATCTAGCAAGTTCATTGGCGAAGTAATTTTCAAAAAATACGTTGTGTAAGTCGAGAAAATCAAAGTTAAAGTTTATGTAAATCAAGGGAAATCTCTATCACATGTAAAGATACGAAACCCTCATGATTTTCTTTGTGTTTTCCTCATGAATTATTGAGTTTTTGAAATGCTAGGCACAACTGGTTATAAAAGGTATAGTACTTACGCTTGGCCGTATGTTGGGTTGTCTGAACGCCTGAAAGATAGCTGCTCATTTTTTGAACTGTAAGGAAAGAGACACTGGTTAAGGTAAAATATCTTCACTTTCATATTATATATTTATTGAATTATAATCAAGAATACAAGGTAGGTGTTGCTGGTGGCCAAGGGTAGTCAGCGATCTAGCCATGTACGCCAAATGACCGCAATGGCAAACACGAGGCAAAACACTGGCAAACATTTGCACCAAAACTGGCAAACAGCTATGGCAAAACAACAAAAAAACGTAATAATAAGGCTACCACCACCACCACTATCATCACCACCACTATCATCACCACCAGCAAAATCACCAGCACCATCATTATCAACATCACCATCACCACCATCATCACAACTATCATTATCACCATCATCGCCAGCATCATCTCAACCATCACCACCAACAGTACCAACAGCACCATCAACATTACCACAATCTTACCTTCGACGTTTGCGAACAAAAATACACGCCGCAATTATGCCCAAGATCACCAGTACACCAGCTACACAGACAGGTATAATAATCTTCAGAATAACTTTACTATCTTCCGTCTTCTTAACTTTAGCTGGAAAGACGACTTTCAAACTGGTTACGTTTCCCAACATGGCACCACCAGACATTTTCAAAAATTTCACATTCAAAACAGTTTCGCTCATTTCAGAAGGCATGGCGCCGAATTCCAAATGAATGGATGAATTCCATTGGCCCTCGATAAACATCAGCTCACCGCTCGTTGGGGAAACGGTAAATGGGATCTTCGCGTTTGATTGGCTGGTGGCTATCCACGTGGCATTAATGGTTCCAGTAGAGCCCTTGCGTCTAACTACGTCAAAAATCATTTCGTTGCCATATCGTTCTGGATGGTAAATGATGCTGTTGTCTTCTTCAAATATGGCGTGTGGAGGTGCCCGGGTCGA